GGGAGAGAGGGTTAAAATAACTTTAGTTTAGCAACAAAGTAGTCTGACCAAAAATGAATAATTTAGATATACGTGTATGCGTGCAGCGAACAATAACTCAATCGCTGTTTGTTGTTCTGGACAAACTGCACAACCGGTTTGCCCTGGACAACAGAATCTTCTTGTGGTAACTTTTTAACTTTTTTTTTAGAAACTATAATAAATTTTGGTACATTCAAAAAAAAAAGTGTTTTTCTTTTGCCGAGAAACATTTTTTACGTTTTATTATAATTTATACAGTAATTTTTTCCTAATTTTTTTATAAATTTGCAAATTTAACTATAATAAAACAGCATTTATGCCGACCAATTGTTTTTTTTTTTTTTTTGTCACACAAAATTACTTACAAACGATTAGCATTTTTGACTGTCTTCTTTAATTTTTCTTTGCCAACAGCTTTATTTATAAAAATTTCTAAGATTCAATTGCTTATTTGATGACGAATATCATATATTTGTTTGCTTAACCTGTACAGTTTACAAAAAAAAAAAAAATCGTAGTTAAAAGATAATAATTGAACAGTAAATAAAAGTGTTTAGGAAAATGGTGTACCACGTTACTGTACTCCAAATGCTCCAGTATCCTGTCCAAATGGTTACGTTTGTACAGCAGCAGTTAATATGGCTGGAACATATGTCTGCTGTGGTGCTGTGGCAACAAGTGCTTGTCCAGCCAACTTTATACCAGCTCTGGGCAATACAGGCAATGAAGTTGGTGAAAAATTTTTTAACAGTCACCTTATGAGACTGTTTTTCTCATTGAGATATTTTTTTTTTCAGCATTTGTTACCGCTTTTTTAAAACTTTCTGTTGATGTCGAACATTTCAGTGACCTTGTTTGTTGAACAATGCAGTAATATACAGTTGAATTGTATTATACGCATTCAAAGTGTCTATTTACGAGACTTTTATTATAAATTATTTTAGGAAACTTTGTTGTTTATTACTGTAGTGAAAAAGATTACTGTCAGCACTTATTTTTTTAGATCAATTGCGCTCCAAACGATCCAAATTCTTGCCCAGCAGGTTCTGTATGCTTAGAATCACAATTTTCTATAGGCACTGGAACTTATTTGTGCTGTAGAAGTTCACAAGCTCTTCGAGTATGTCCAAATAACCAGAATGCTTTTGTAACACCCAATGGACAAGTTGAACAATGTACTGGTCCTGGTGCATCTTGTAGTCAGGTTTGATTACCGTTAAACTTGCTTTTGAAAACGAAATTTTTTTCTACTATAAATTGCTAGTGAAGTATTGTACCATTTCAAAGTTTTTTCTTCTAAATAAACATTCTTAATTTAGAACGGTTATACATGTCAATATTCAACTAGTCTTGCAAGCTGGGTTTGTTGCGGCCAAGGACAGGGAATGGCATTATGTGCAGACGGAAGGGAAACATACTTTCAGGTGGAAGGTACGTTTTTTTCTTTCATAATAAAATTTTTTTAAATAAAATAATGGTTATGAATTTTGAACTGATCCAAATCAGTGACTTTACGGATTTCTAATTTGTTGTGTTCTGTACTTATTCTTTGGAAATGGCATTTATTGCTATAAAAATATCTAGTTATTCGAGTATTTCTCCAAAATTTAGTTACTGTGGGCTGTGACCTTTTTTAATTTAAACTTCCTCCGAACATCTGATGTGATAACTCTGTTTTCATTAAAGGTCAAACGTATTCGTGTGTTCCATCCACTACCCCAACTGGTTGTCCGGCAAGTTACGACTGTGCTGCATCAACTTCGACGGGGACTTTTGTTTGCTGCAGACAAGCAACCACCGCAACAGTTCCTACAGTTGCTTCTGGTCTAAGTTGTCCACTTGGTTGGAATCCATACAGAAATGAATTAGACGGCAGTAATCGTTTCTGCCAAAATGCTATAGATATGAAGTAAACTTTATTGCTTTTGTATAATTATTTGTGAAACTTTTAAAGTATAATTGCATTTTTAATATGGTATATGCTGTTTCAGTTGTCCAACTGGATTTTCTTGTACTCAGTCAACGCAACAAGGGCTTTACTTGTGCTGTCGTTTGGCCACGAGTCTCAGGTGTGCTTCTGGTCAAACGACACTTCTAATAAATAATCAGCCTCGTTTATGTCAAAATTTGAAGATAAATGCTTGTCCTGCTGGTTATTCATGTAGGGTTTCAAATATGGTTAGTTGTTTTTTGGTGTAGTTTACTTTAACAAATTTTGGAAACAACTGTCTTTTAATAAACTCATTTGGGTTCTATAGAAACAAGCTCTTTAATGGTTTTTTACAAATGCTACTTGATAAAACAAAATAAGTTTAGTTTTTTATACCAGTTTCGGTTACTGGGTTGTTTTTCCTTGACTACTGTCAAATACTTTGTTTTGTAAACGGTTTTTTTACTTCTATATTGATGTAATATTTAGTCGAGTGTTGCTTCTTGTGTGCAGTATAGTCGGTAAAAGTTGCAAAAAGATGTTATTAACATGACAATGAGTAATCTCTCCTAGTTTTAAATCTACTCATTCTTAATAATTTATTTCTAAAAAATTTGTAGACACACTTAGTCTCTCTCTCAGTAGGCTTGTTAGGTTGTATTTAATATTCGGTTGCGTTAGATCAACACTTGCCGTTTTTGAGTAACTGTTTTTCAATTTTGGATACACCACAACTTTTTATCAATATGCATTCCTTTAGATAAATGTTTATATATGTTGCGCCAATTTCCGTCTCTCTGAACAGTCAAATCCAAGCTTGATTGACGACCTTAGATGTCTTAGAGACGGTTCTTTGCCAGCAGTGACTGGCCAAAGTATTCGATATTGCAGACTCGGTAGTTCAGCTGGAAGTTCATGCCCACCAGAGCACAGCTGTTCGCTGTCAACACAAGAAGATATTTATGTATGTTGTAAGAATGAAAAGTAAGTTATCATGAAGTTTTGATAGTTTCACTTGGTTTCAAAAATACGAATGATATGGTGGAAAACTATCTTTATTGAATAACCTTAAGCTGTGCGCTACTTTTTCTTTCTGTATTTCCCACCACTCTGCTATTTTGAACAGCTTCACTTAGCTAAGCATATTTTAAACTGTAACTCATGCATTTAAAAATGTTCATCTTTTAAAAGTCGTATTGCTTTTCAATTGACATCCCCAACTGATCGTCTATGCCCTCCTTTTTTTCCTGCAGAGCGTCTTTCTTGTTTCTGATCAGGACAGTTACAAGGCAGCATAGCTGTCAAATAAAATACTTTATTCTGTAATGAGAAAAAATTTAAGAAAATTCATTCTTTATATTCTACCAGTTCTCTAAATCCTATTTGAAGGGCTTGTGAGGTTTTGTTTACGCAACACAACTGTTAGTAAATTACAGCGTTTAATTCTAGTTTACTAAATTCAAGTGTTGCCAAATGGTCACCGACTTTGATACGAATGGGAGTGTGTGGTGATCTGAGTGTTCCTTTTGAGTTCGAAGGGCAGTTAATAGATTGTTCAGAAGATAATAATATTTGTCCGTTGGTGAGAATTTATTTTTTTTACTTAGAAAAAAAATAAATTTTTCTGCCGATTTTCATCTGCTTTTGGTTAAATCACATGTGAGCCAAATTAACTATAATCTTTCTTATCAAAAAATATCTATTTTTCTATTATTCCTTATTACAGTTATGAGTCAACAGTAATTTTTAGGGATACTCTTGTCAGCCTTCATTGTCTGATTCAAAAATGTATTGCTGTAAGGATATTAAATGTAGATCAGGCGTTGCCCTTCGAGGCTCACTACAGTGTACTTCAAATGCGGAATGTAAGGATGGATATATTTGTCAGGAAAGTGAGGAATATAAAGGTAGTTGTTTGGCCTTCTCTTGTCTTATCAGTTAAATTTGCAACAGATAGGCAAAAAAATTTTGTTAAAACTGTTCACTCATACTGTAACAAGTGTATTAACAAGTGTATACTTAAATGGTGGAAGTGGCACTGAATTTAAGGTGTAAGAATATGTTGTCCCGATCTTATTTCGCCGTCTGCTCGGTGTTTGGGCCGTGAAACTTTGTTAGCTTCCGGCTCACCAGTTAGTTGTCAAGCACTGAGCGTCTGCCCACAGGGTTATATTTGCTCAAACCACACAACCACCTTCGAATCTGTTTGCTGTAGATCTTATTCTAAAATAACCCTTGTATGCCCAGAAAACAGGTTAGGTATTCTACTTGCTTTTGTCCTGCTAAGATCATCACTACTTTATTTAGTGGAACTAAACTGATAAAATGAATTGAAAAAAAAATCCAAAATAATACAACTTTTACTGAAATTCAGCTGCTTTCATCTAATATTTTAAGTAAGAGAACTGCTGGCGGGGCAATATAGCTTTCCAAGTCAGACCATTTTAGAGCAATTTTTCAGAGAACCTTATAGAGGAGTAGCAGATGACGCATTATTCTACTGCGATCGCACCGGTTTTTCTTGTCCAAATAATTACGTTTGCAAACAAGCAATAAATTCTGCTAGGTACGTGTGCTGTTCGCCAGTACCTTCATGCGTTGCAGGCGGTATCCCGCAAACTGGTGGGGAACAAGGTATACCGCGAAGGTCTCTGTTTATAATGTTCTTAATTTCTTCCACTTAAATGTCAGTTTTTAAAAGAAGATACATAGGGAACTATTCAACAGTGTCAGCAACATAGTTCTTTCTGCGCTGCTGTAAAAGGCTCAAGTTTTCTACTTTAGGTGTTTCAATGACCTGGAGGATATCTCCTCTCAATGTACTGACGGTTACACTTGTCAAGTTTCAACAGTACCATACCTGAGTGTTTGTTGTCACTCAGCAGACACAGAAAATGAAGACCTACCTTACAGGTCACTGGACGAACACGGGAAAGTGAACGGTCAAGATGACCAGGGATGGTATATTTTAGAAGGAACTAAGTAATAATTTTACAAGCTGTGCGAGTGCTAAATCATAAATGCACAAATTTTGGACATTTGCACCTGATAAAGGCTTTATGACAGCCAATTCTTCAACAATGCATTCCAACCTTCTGGAAGTTGA